AAAAACTGAGGGCACGACAGGGGCTTGCGGGCTGTGGTGGCCAGGCTGTTTTAGATTAAGATTATTACGCTATTATTATGTGTGTACCTCTGACCAATGACCATGTACCACCGCCACGCCACGTATCATCATCTCCCATCCCCTTCTCCACCCCGTTTGGTTACAACGCACACTACCTTGTTCGAAGATCTACAGCCTACGGCGCTCAAATTAGTAAATTTACAACATTAATGACTATCTTCTCCAAACGGCGTTTTTACCCCCTTATCCCTGTCCTTATGGCCCACTGCTGCGTCTTTCTTTTCGTGAAATTTTTAAATTTTCGAAACGAGTTCTCACGTGAATAGGATTAATCATCATACCCAGTGTTACATCATTGCATGAACTGATCATAGCCGCACATCAATTCAGGATGCATCAGCCCCCGGCTGGGAGCAAGTACCACTCGGATTGGTTTTTAAAGTCAAGTCTTAATCAGGGACCTTTGATAAGCTGGTGTGGTGTACCACCGTAACACCACGGAACCATCGCTACCACTACCTTACCTGCTGGCATAGGATATTCCACAATTATCCATATGCCAACTGCCCTGCTTCTTACTGGAATTGTCGGTGGCATGGAGAGGGGTTGAGGATAATTTTGACATTTGACTGGTATCCTAGTGTTCCCGGCTAAAATTAATGCGCTTTACAATTACAGCTGCAACTATGGCGCGTGTATGGATGCACTCTCAATACTCCAGCTTTTCACGGACCGAATATAAGGCATCCCTTTGACCCATCATTGATAATGTTAATATAATAATTTATTACTCAGAAAAATCTACTGAAAACTTGGTATTTTTTTAGGAGTTTTAATTTTTAATATTGTAGAACTCAGTAAAAAGACGACAGCTTGAATTGATTAAATTTATGTGATTGTATTAAATTGTTATAGGGAGCCCGAGGGGTTTGTTCAGGAGTCGAAGAGCTTTACTTCATTCCTTAACTTTTTTAAATTAAAGTTTTAGTTTTTTGATTTTTTTTCATAATGCATCATATCCATAGAAAAATTGTATCTTTAAAATTACAAAAGAAAGGAAAAAAAACTTAATAAATTAATTACATAAGCTCATCCAACTCGAAAACACCCCAAATGTGCTTTAATAGTAAATTATAAATAAAAATATAATAAGTTATGACTAATCAAAATGATTCGTACTTTAATTTTTTTTTTGAAAGAATATGCATGTATAAAAAGGTTAAACACTACTCATACGATCTCAAAAGAAGTGATTATTACAAAAATTGATAAGGATTATAATCTATTTATTAGATAATAGATAAATTAATTTTTTTACTAGACGCGTATAAAATTAGAAAATCTATGATTGGTTTTAATTTAAAAAACAGACTATAGCTTTTATGCAATAATCACTTACTTCGGATTGAATAACCATACTAGCAGTTAGTAAAATATGTATAATCAGAATATGTTAATGTGAAAGTATTTGAATCCAATAATTAAAAGAAGAAAAGAAACAGATGGATTAAAATACACAATTTTATAAACTTTTAATAAAAATATTAAATCTACAAGAAAACATGTTCAGGGGAATAAGTACTGATTAAATCTGACAATTTTATTTTAAAAACTAATAAATGAAACAAGCGTTTTGAGATCTCTCCATCTATGCAATTCAAGATGGAGTGATGGACTAAATTATTTAAATGAATCATTTTTTCATGACAAGGAACTATAACTAAAATCTAACAGGTTCAGAAAAAATTCGATGCAAGTGTCTTCGAGTATAGTAGATTAGGACGGGGAATGGATTAGCTGACAATCCCAATTTTTTCTAGGGAACAGATAACCAATACAATCCCTCGCTGGAAAAAGACAAGTCAACGGCGACCAGTTTTACCCACACAACTAACCTATGGTGGAGAAATTGTGGAGAGGGAGGAGCGTGAATGATGCGAACTTTAAACCCTCGCACAAGGAAACAAAGCCGACTTGGGTTTTCTAATTAACGCTGCTGGCACTGGCAACTAACCTATGGTCATACTTAGACGCCTCCAGTCTGCAAATAGGACGACCTTGAATTCTCCAGGAACCAACCACCCCTTTCCAAGATAATTATAATTATTACTGTATTGTATACTAACAACCTAACGGAATTAGATAGTGAATCAAATACAGAAATCAAAATATAAAAAGTAATAATTAAATTAGATAACATAAAAAGTGAAGAACGACAATGCCGCAGCTAATCACTTTTTGCCTCATCCGCACGCGCTTTTTTTAAAGACAGTTCGTCAGCCTTCTGAACTTTCTCGACCTTGCTTGCGTTGCCACGTGTAATCGCTTAATTAAAAAAATATATATGTTATTGAATGAAAAGCGAAAATTAAAAATATATGGTAATTTTCATCTTATGTTCAAATTAGTCTCTGTCTCATGATTTTACTCAAGGGAGCGTTTGTCTCCTGTCTCCGTTTATTAATAAATTCTTCAAGAATAGTTGATCATTATGGTAAAAGGAAAATTACTATTATACACCATTCTTTTTCTAAATTTGTTCCGAAGATTTTAGATAAAAAATATGGCTTGATAAAAGTACATGTATGAAAAAAAAAAAACTGTCATGTGCTAATCAGATTAGTCGATCTCATAAATCTTTTAGTTTTGCTTTTGGCAAATTGATCTCAATTTCATTTCAAAATATTTAATTTGTTTTGTATCTTTTATTTTTGCTTCAATCAATCTTCTTATTGTTAAGTTTTGTTTTAGTTTTTCCTCTTTAGTCTGGCGCATAAATTTTAATTTCATTATTAAAGTTTATGAAATATTTGGATATAGTCTGAAAAGTTAAAAAAAAAAGAATTGTAATTAATGCAAATAAAAATAAAAAATCAATGGAAAATGTACGTATTTTTAAGTAAAACAGATGTGGTAAAACACGAGAGGATTAGTTTGTCAATAAATTCTCAAATTCTATCAATTTTAATTTCACTTATCAACATCATACTTTAATTTGTTAATTAAATAAAAATTAAGGTTCAAATTAATTTAACTCTTTATTTATTTTTTTGGTCAAAACATTCATCTTTTCCATTCTTCTCAGCTACCATGTCCGGATGTCTCCTTTTTTATTTAATTTTATAATCAAACAACACTTTTGATATGTATAAATAATCATATGAAAGTGATGTAAAAAATATTCTATACTCAAACTATAATTTTATTTATATGAGATTTCAGTTTTTCTTTCTAAAATTCTTATTCAAGATTTTAATGAAAAAATAAATAAATAACACATACATGACACACTAGTGAAAACGTGCATTAGATTAAACAATATCTTTTTATCATATTTGTTTTTAATCTTCCATGATGGTTTTGTCGAGGATTGCTAGATAGTGTTGGTGAAAAGATTTTAAAAAAAAAAAAATTATCATATGTTATTCTATAAATTTTGAAAATAAAATTAAAAAGACACATAAATTTCAAGGAGGCGAGTTGAAATTTAATTCTGTTTTTATTATTTTTTTAAGGAAAGTCATGAATCTTGTAGTCGAAATTTTGGGAGGAAATAAAATATTTAGTATGACTTTTTTGATAATATAGTGGATTCTAGGTTTAGGGTCTCCCTTTTCGTTTTCGCATGTTAAAAGGCATTTCGCATTCTGTTAAAAGTTTGAAAGAAGTAAATCGAAAGAAAATGAATTAGGCAAAACAAAATCCTTGTCGGAAAGCAAGCAATGATTAATTTGCATTTAAAACCCAAATTACCGTGTGAGTTGATTTCTTTCCATAAGGACCATAACAACACTACCCCAGTTTGAAACACGTTTAAGGAAAATAAATAAATAATAAAAAGAAAGAAAATTTGTTAAGAGAAAAAACAATCAATATTTGGAAGCTCCCTTGACATTGACACAGAACGTGCTGTGCGTCTATTTATGTTGCACTACAATTCATCTCTGTGTCTGTCTACAGTGGAAAAATTTTATAATATACAAGAAGTAAGTAGTGTTATGTAAAATAATTATTCTTTGGATACAACTTTGAAAAGAGAGATAGACACATAAAAAAGAGAGAAATTATATCCATACCACAAAAAGTGATAAGAAGATTTTCACGTACTGTTCAAATTTTTTATTTTCTCTCTCTTTTGTGTGTCTATTTCTCTCCTCAAAGTAGATCCAATGAGTAATTACTGTACATGCCACTTAGTATCAACAATAATTACTCTATAAATCTACTTTAAAATAAATATAGACATATAAAAGGAAATAAAATTATATTTAAATCTATTAAAAATAATAATAAGATTTTCTTTCTTTAAAATAAATTTAAAATTTAAAAATAAATTTATAAAGTAAATATTATATATATCATTCGTCATTTTTGAAGTATTATAAAATTTCTGTTTGCTGTGTACATTTCACCAAATATTCCTAATTAATTACTTGATTCTTTTTAAAGAATCAAAACCTCTCAAAGAAGACGTGTTGAGCTGTTACCTTCTTTTTTCTAAATCTCTCTGTACATCACTCCCTGCTTCTCTCTCTTTATAATTTCTTCATCTTCTCGTAATCTTATTGCAAGCTGTGATTGAGTGAGAGCTTTTTTGGACTCATCTCCAACCCTCTTGACTCTTTCTCTCTCCTTCTATATCCCAAAAAAACACTCTTTTTCTTTTTGTTCTTTTTTTTTTTTTTTGCGCCTCTCTCTTTCTTAACAATAGTTGTCGTATAAAATGTCTCCTCATGTCACCATAATTTAGAGACTCCTCGCTTTGGTTACTCTCCCCTTCCTCCAACACGCGTATTTCTTTTCACACATTATCTGTTTCATATTATGTTATCAAATTTGTAGCTTTTTTTAGCCTCAGAACAAAGAAAAAGATCGGATTTTTAACGCATTTGTTCCTTTCCATTGTGAGTCCGATTTTTTTTGTTTTACAGATCAGAAACTCGAAAAAAAAGAAAAACAAACAAAGCCCTTAAACGACAATGGCACCCTCGTTTGACTGGTGGGCAAAGGACAGCCATAGAGGAACACCGGTGGTAGTCAAAATGGAGAACCCAAACTGGTCAATGGTGGAGCTTGAAGGTCCGTCAGAGGAAGATTTCTTAATCACTGACTCACCGAGTCGACTCGGCCGAGATAAATCACGTAACAAGAACGCTAAACAGCTCACATGGGTCCTTCTCTTAAAAGCCCACAAAGCCGCCGGTTGCCTGACCTCCATTGCCACCGCAATGGTCTCTCTCGGCTCTGCCATCAAGCGCCGCATCCACTCTGGCCGCACTGATATCGAAACCACCGACATCGACCGGGAAAACGAGAACCCAACCGTGAAAACAAAATTCTATACTTTCATCAAGATTTTTCTTTGGCTATCAGTTTTGCTGTTAGGCTTCGAAATTGCTGCTTATTTTAAAGGGTGGCATTTCGGAGCTCCACATCTGCAATTGCAGTACTTATTAGCGACGCCGTTCGGGTTTAAAGATATCTTTGATTCCTTGTATTCACGGTGGGTTTTGTTTCGTGTGGAGTATCTTGCTCCTCCTTTGCAATTTCTAGCCAATGCCTGTATTGTGCTCTTCCTTATCCAGAGTGTTGATAGGCTTGTTCTTTGTGTGGGTTGTTTCTGGATCCGGTTTAAGAAGATTAAACCAATCCCCAAACAAGACGCTGTTGCTGATCTTGAATCTGGTGAAAATGGCTTCTTTCCTATGGTTCTTGTCCAGATCCCCATGTGCAATGAGAAAGAGGTAACTTCAAATTTCACATTTTTAGCTCATGATTTTAGTTGGTCACTTGTCCTTTTCATTATCATTATTAATTTTTTTTTTAATTTTGCGTTTTTTTCAGGTTTATCAACAATCAATAGCAGCCGTGTGTAATCTGGACTGGCCGAAATCGAAGATTTTAATACAAATTCTAGATGATTCTGATGATCCAACTACGCAATTGTTGATTAAAGAGGAGGTTAATAAATGGCAGCAAGAGGGTGCCCGCATTTTGTATAGGCATCGTGTAATCAGGGATGGTTATAAAGCTGGAAATCTTAAGTCTGCTATGAATTGTAGCTATGTCAAAGACTATGAGTTTGTGGCTATTTTCGATGCCGATTTTCAGCCAAACCCCGACTTTCTTAAAAGAACAGTCCCTCACTTCAAGGTATTTGACTCTGATTCCTTCTTGTTGTTTTCGCTCTTTTTCTGTGAGTTAATAATTTATTTTCATCGAATTTGAAGTGAGGGAATTAAATTTATGTGGATTTCTGTGGCGTAATTGGATAAGTAGCTAATTCAAGCATTCTAGCAATTGAAGACGCAAGTATTGAAATTGAATGTGGCATTGCAGGATAATGAGGAGCTAGGGCTTGTTCAGGCAAGGTGGTCTTTTGTGAACAAGGATGAGAATTTGTTGACTAGGTTGCAGAACATTAATTTAGCGTTTCATTTCGAAGTAGAGCAGCAAGTGAATGGTGTTTTCATTAACTTCTTTGGATTCAATGGGACTGCTGGGGTGTGGAGGATAAAAGCTTTGGAAGAATCTGGTGGTTGGTTAGAGAGGACTACTGTTGAGGACATGGACATTGCTGTTCGCGCCCATCTTCATGGCTGGAAGTTCATTTTCCTCAATGATGTTGAGGTATGTTAAGTGTTTCTTTTTAGTCTATATTACTGGATGTTTTGTCATTGATTACAGTGAGTATCTCACTGAAACTAGTAGTAGTCAATGATTTGTATGTGGTCTAACAGTTTTGTTCTTTTTACTTGCAGTGTCAGTGTGAATTGCCTGAATCATATGAAGCATATAGAAAGCAACAACACAGATGGCATTCCGGACCCATGCAGTTGTTTAGACTTTGCTTACCTGCTATTATTCGATCCAAGGTATATACTTTTTTAACTACCTTCTTCTGTAATTGTAAATTTCCCCTATTTTTGTGTTGGTTCCATTTGCTGATTTTGTTACATTGCCTATATTGGTCTTTTGCAGATTAGCGTATGGAAGAAATTCAACATGATTTTTCTTTTCTTTCTGCTCAGAAAGCTGATCCTGCCATTTTATTCGTTCACACTCTTCTGCATAATTCTCCCGATGACAATGTTTATACCAGAGGCTGAACTCCCAGCATGGGTTGTGTGTTACATTCCAGCTACCATGTCATTTCTCAACATTCTCCCAGCCCCCAAATCCTTCCCTTTCATTGTCCCCTACCTTCTGTTTGAAAACACTATGTCAGTGACCAAGTTCAATGCTATGATCTCTGGCCTATTCCAGCTTGGCAGTGCCTACGAATGGGTTGTTACTAAGAAGTCTGGCCGCTCCTCTGAGGGTGATCTTGTTTCCTTGGAGCATAGAGAGACAAAGCATCAAAGGGGTTCTTCGGAGCCAAATCTTGATGAATTGAAGGAAGAACTTATGCAACAAGATCAAAAGGCTAAGAAGAAAAGAAAGCATAATAGAATATATATGAAAGAGTTGGCACTGGCTTTCCTTCTTTTAACAGCTTCAGCAAGGAGCCTGCTCTCTGCTCAGGGTATCCATTTCTACTTTTTGCTATTTCAAGGGATATCATTCTTGCTTGTTGGTCTAGATTTAATAGGTGAGCAGGTTCAGTGAAGGAAGCACGCGATAGGTTTTGTCGGATATATTGCTGATGTAAAATTAGGCGACATGGGTGGACGACAAATATGATTATCAGTGAAGAGAATTTTTATGGGGAAATTGTACTGGGCTGGGAGAGCTTTTCTTGATTGGCGCCAACCCTCCATAACCCTAATACATTCCCACCCAATATGAGAAACTATTGTGTTATATGGACAGAAGAAAGACTGCTGTTGGGAAAGAAAGATAGTAGATAGGGTTCATCACATGTAAGGTTTTTTCCTTTTTTTTTTTTTTTTTTCCTGCTTTGTTATTTTGATTCTTTCGTTTTTGGGTCAATTCTTTTGTAAGAAAAATTGTCGTTCAAACATCAAAGAAGGATTTTAGTTACAGTTTCAAGGTTCATTATATTTTCCTTCTTCCCATGACTATAATTAATGCCAGCTCGATGCATCAGCCGCAGTTAATTTCTTTTACTGATGGCGAACTGTGATGTTAGTGAACAAATTTTGCTTGTCTGCGCTCGAATTGCTCTGCAGAAACTAGTAGAAATTCTACTTACAGGCCACTGACACTTGACAAATCACTTCGTAGTTACCTAAATTATTTTAGTAAGAATCCATTAATAATTCTGTTTTTAAAAGGATTTGAATATGTGTATAGTAACATTTTCAAGAATGAGCCAACTTTCTGATGGTACTTGCAACAGTCAAGAGCAACATGTTGGTTTCAATTTTCAGTTGTGATATTTGGCAGATGTATAGTATTATTATTATTATTATTATTATTACGGATTGAAAGTCTAAAAGCAAGTCTTCAACAACTACTTTCCTCCAAAATCATATTCAAATTTATGGCTTGGCAGTACACATTCGAAGATTATAGACAGATCCTCATTAGATTATCAAGTGCAAAAGGCGAGTTAAGATGGAATTAACAATAATTAGTTGAAGTTGCTTTCCAAGCACATACACAAAATCAATCGAGTATCTGGGATGCACATGGGAATGTGTTTTGTCTGGTTTTTTAGCCTGGCCCATTTCAAAGGTGTCTAAGCGTATTTATGATTGGGAAGCAGCTGGACCACGCTATGATATGGACTCGTTCAAATCTACTCTCCTTGAAAGCACAAATAAAATTCTCTTGTAGAAAATTCCCTGTCTGTTCTCTTCCCAACCCAGTTTTGTTTTTCTTTTTAGACGAAAACTTCCTAACCCAATTACTAATAGGACAAAAGAAATTAAGGTAGGTGGGAGAGATCCATAGGTCTGTGAGTAGTACTGATAGTCCAAATGGCAAGGCTAAATTACAGGAAATTGGAAACAAAAACCTTCAATTTTTTATTCGAGTTTAGTTTTTACAGCTAATAGTGAAGGCCAAAAATATGACATTGAATATTGGAGTTAGGATGCATTCAGACGAGTGGTGTTCAACAGGAGGTGTGGTTGTGGCACATCTGTAAATTCGAGGGGCATGGGGCATTTGTTTTCCGTGGGGTTTTTCTTCAATACGGCAGGGCAGTTTGTTGGAGGTCCATACACATGTCACCCTTAAGTACATTTCATGTAATAAATCCAGCTCACCCATCTGTCACCCGGATTGCAATTTTTCTGTTTTTTTTTTTTAAGAAAATTAATGGTACTAATTAATATATCAAGAATGGAATAAAGAGGGAAATGATGTGATTAACTTTTTCTTAGGTTGTTAACAAAAGTCCAAATCAGGTTGATAGCTTTGTGCTGAATTTGTCAAATAGTTTGTCTAATGCCAGCCAGGTAACATGAGCAGTCTTCTCAGTTTTGCTCCTTTTTTCATGGGAAGCCCTTGCTTAAATTGGTCTAATGCCAGCCAGGTAACATGTCGGTTAAAAAATAGTAATTTAAAGAGCTTATTTTTATTAAATGAATATATTTTTATTTTTTTAGCAGGTGAGACCGCATCTATTCGTTCGGGTTGACTGTCCGAACTAATACCATAAGCTGCATCTTATAATAGCAATTATAAGAACCTGACTGGCTGTTAGTTTCATCGTAAGTGTGGCCCGATTGAAGTTGAGGAGATATACATTAAGATGTGTCAACCGTATATATCATATTTACCTTTTGAAATTCATGTATATTATAAATCCTTGGTGTTAGGATCCCATGAAGGCAACATCCTCAGCTACCAGCCTAGTCAACTAGCATTACTTGCAGTAGAAGTGGATCGACCTTTACGTAATACCTCGGGAGTTGTGGTCCTTCCATGTAAGAAACAGGAGTTATTTTTTAAAATTAGGGCATTTTAATTTTTTTTAACCAAAATACCATACAAATTTACTTATTTGTCAAACTATTATAATTTATATTAATCTTTAATACGTTCTCCTAACACATCCCTTCAAGTGAAAGTTCTAATATTTAGGTTTGAAACTTGCATTGATCCATATTATCTTATATTTAATATTTGAAAAGGTGGAGATCATGAGACTAAAACTCGGGACTAATTGGTCAATCAAAATCGATGTCATATTAAAGGATCATCTTATTTTAAAAGCTTATGTTGTTAAGTAAGATTTCAGAATATAATTTATATTACTCTCTATCACAAATTAAGATAGTTTATGTTATGTAAGACTTTATTAATCCATATTAATTTTTTTTTACTAAACTAATCACAAATTAATGAAAATATAATATTATTACAATTAAAAAGAAAAAAGTTTTAAAGGCAATAATGTATTTCTCTAATCAATAAGTATATCATATTATGAGATTAAGGGACAAAATCTTTCTCTCCCCCTCCATGCCAAAACTAGAGATCCCATTCGGCTGCCATGATGATCTAACATTTACGCAGAGATCATTACTGTGATTCACATGGAGAGGAAATTGAGTTTCATATAATTTTGGAACGTAATTTAAACCTAAACTAAATTGGTATGGGTACATACAACCCTTTTTCTTTTGAATTACAAGTTGCCAGGTAGCTAAAAATCAGATGTCCATAAAAAATAAAACAAAATAAAAAATCCAATAATCCTCTATTTGTTTTTTTTTCTTTTTCTTTCATGAACTTTATTTGGATTGTTATATATATTCAAAAATCTCTAACTTCTGAATATAATACAAATATTTATATGAAATGAACATTCCTTATAAAAAGGCTTGTTAAAAAAAGAAAAAAAAAACTTACCCAAAAAGTCTTGTATAATAGTTTTTAATTTTAGTATGAAAAATTTAGTGCATATCAAGTATTGTTGAAAAGATGAATTTTAAAATCAAGTTCATGATTCTAAAAAAAAAAAAAATCAAGTTTAGCATGTGAGTGGATGCAAGAAAATAAAGTAAAAAATCATTTTGCCGTTGATGAAGGAAAACAAATGCAAAGATGGACAGCTCTTGGGAAAATTTTATAATTATATTATTAGAAGAAAAAAGTTGACATAAATCGTTAATGTGGAGCTCATATTAATAGCACAATGTGCCTTGGTTTGATAAACAAATTTAAAACTATCCCATTTTGGGAAAAAAAAATTTTAATGTTTTTGTTTGGAAGAAAACTCATATGAAAGAGGGGCCCAATAGCCGTGTACGGAGCATTTTCCTCCTCAGTCCTTACTCCATTTAATAAAAAGAGAATAAAGTGGATCGGGGAATCTCATACTTCCGTAGCTCCACGGAACCTTCTATGGACCAGGCCTTGTTGGCCTCCCTACTCATCGTACAATTACATTAGACATCAGCCGTTAACCCGTAAGAATTAAAAGCTTTTGGACCTTTCTATTAATGGAGACATTGTCGAGGCCAGTATGCCATATTGCTCAAGGCTCTTCATTGGCATCATGGCCCAAAAAGCAAGGCCTCATTACATGTCACTGGAGCCCAAACTTCAAGTAATCGAAAGCTCCACCAAAAAGGCCTATACCTATTAAAAACGAAGGTAAACTTCGAATGAGTCTCCTCAAATATCCACCAACTCACTGCTGGGTCTTAAAATTTCTTCAATTGGATCTCTAAGTATTAAAAGTACCTCAATTGAGTTAACTCATCCATGTTTGCTAGTATTTTCCATCTAAATCGCTTATAAAATGACGCTTTTTCGAGGAGATTTTGGCATTCTATTTTAATGGAAAGACGTTAGACAAAACGACCCATTCCATAATCCCTTGGAGATCCAATTGGGAGAAGTCTTAGAATGGGGACTACATTGAGCGTCAGTTAATACCTTGGGGTCTAATTTGATAGAGGCAAGTTCAAAAGGGCCAAAAAAAAAAAGGAGGAAAAACTACATTGAAAACAGTTGGCCGAAGTCAGTTGTCACAGCCGACGCGAACGCGCGCCTTGCAATTCTTGCATTTGCAAACGAGGAACCACAGACACAATCTAGGATTTTTAGATCTATAACCTTCCTCAAGTTTCTCGAAAATGAGGCTGGTACACTTGCTGTCTCAAGGTAATTTCCACCTTCTCAATCTCCAAATTTCGAATTTGCCCGTGCGCGTAACTATAATATGCATGGTTTGTAATGTATTTCTTAAGGCAGATTCCGGGTAATTACCATTTGGAATTCGTTGCTCTCTTTTTTGGAGATGAATGGGTAGCTCACTTGATTTTCCTTGTTTGAAACAGCGTAAGATATTTGTAGACGGATCATAAGTTCAAATTAATTTCAGCAATGTCAAAGAGGTCATCAAAACATTCTAGGCGATATGGAGATAGTGGAGGAATAGGTGCTCTATTTGGCTTCAATTCCCACTCACGTTCTTCTCCATATTTGCCTGTTGCTCTGATTCTCCTGGTACTTACTCACTTTTCCTTCTTTTTTTTTTTCTTTCTTAATTTTTGTTGTTCAAATTGAATCTGGTTTTGAATATGTACATTTGTTCCATGCTGTTGCATTGAAATGGATTAGATGCCGCGAGTATCGGTGGATTCTGATTTAGTTATTTCTTTTTTTCATGGAAAAATTTTCAGGGAGCAGTATTTCTTTTTGCTTATTTCTACAGCAGCTCAGGTTGGTACCCAATTTACCAAAAAACATATCTGAACCTATTAGTAACATCTAATATATTAGTATAGAAGATATATTTATATTGTCTTGTTTTTAAAATGTCAGCTTCGTAGCTTGAGAACATAGCTGTTTTGTTCAAGCATGAATACTTTAATGAAATAATATAAATTAATATAGAGGACTACTGCTTATTTTCTTTTCTTAAAAAAGGGGAACTGTTTATAAGATTCGAATGGAAATTTATATACTCAATTCAAACTGTTAACGAAAATCATTATTATCATCTGGGACCCTTTCATCTGTTGATCCTGCCATTACCTTTTCTGTTGCGTCTTTTATGAAACCTCTTTCTGACAGTTAAAATTCTTGCTGCGTGTTACCATTTCATACTGTAGCTTACCTGCAAAGGCAGATTGAATTAGCCAATTGCAACTGTTCATTGCATCCGTTCACATTTTCCAGAACTTTATTTTCTTTGGCTATCTGTTGACTGCACTTCATTTGCATGATAGGGAAATTTGGTGGCAACAAACAGGCTTTTAACAGGGTTCAAGGTAAAGTTGTTGACTTAACTTTTAGAGGTTTAGTTCTTTGTAATTTGATGTTTTATAACTATAAGATTGTGATTTCTTTTAAACTATAATTTTTAATAGGTACATGTCATATTTGATATTAATACTTTTGACCAAGTGCCTTGCGAACTATCTAGTCTTTTTTTTCCAAACTCATATGAATGGCCTTTGCTGATCATGAATAGAGTCCATTGAAGATTTAAATGGAAATAATCCGGTTTTACCACTATTAATATAATCCTTTTACGTCCTTTTTGTTCATACCATAGTTATTCACTCCATCTACAATTTTGTACCAAGTTACCTTCAATTTGAAGGATATGATCTCTTGTCTGCATATGCAGGTGATTTTTCATGCACAGTTGGTGTAGAACAAGCAATCCCAATTTTGAAGAAAGCTTATGGAGATAGCATGCATAAAGTTTTGCATGTTGGGCCTGATACTTGCTCTGTGGTTTCTCAATTGCTAAAAGAAGAGGAGACCGAAGCCTGGGGTGTGGAACCATATGACATAGAGGACGCTGATGGTAACTGCAAGGCACTAGTGCGGAGGGGTGTTGTGCGTGTTGCTGATATCAAGTTTTCTCTTCCTTACAGACCAAAATCATTTTCTCTCGTAATTGTGTCAGATGCATTGGATTACTTGTCACCAAGATACCTCAACAAGACAATTCCAGATTTGGCTAGGGTATCAGCTGATGGTCTTGTAATATTTACAGGTAAAAGGAGCTTCCGATATCTACTCCACTAGAAATTTTCATGTCCTCTCAGTTTTTGTTTGTTGAGTCACCTTTTCAAAATTCTCAAATTACAGGACTTATGCCAACATTCTTCACTGGATTAGATCAACTGACAACTTTTTGCCTCTTATGAACTAGATATAAAAGTAAAACCAACTGTATATAAGAGTTAAGCCAATGTAACACCCACAAAAAATTTTTAAATCTTCCTTTTCTTTTGCGAGTCCTTGAAATTGGATATTTGATGTTTTTTGTATTTCCTCCCTCAATTTATCAGTTCTTAATGTTGGAGAAAGACACCCATGCCAAGAAAAGTGCTGGAGAAATGAGTTGGGATATTTGTCCCAGAATTGGTGATGGTATATAAATTTATTGTGGCAAGAGATTGTTACAGATAGCTGACATATTGCAAGATGAACTCAGCTGAACTTATACTTTTTCTCCTTTTCCGGATGAATATGAATGATTTATTAAAATAAGAATTAGAAATACAGATACAGTCAAAAGTCAGTGAGGGGGTGGCTGTAAATGCATCAAGTCGGATGACAAATAGCCCAACAAAGAAAGGTAGAAACAAGCACAACAGAAGCCTTTTGTGCATTAACTTCTAAATTACCTTTTGTTGTTCAAAATACAGGCTTTCCAGGTCAACACAGAGCTAAAGTTGCTGAAGTGTCCAAATTTGGAAGGGCGGTAAGTGACTTAATTTCGGGATCATAATCAGTTCCTGGATCACTACATGTTGTCTGTTTTTTGGAGTTCTTGCATGACGCTGTCGCACACTCATTATTATTTTGAGATGAGTTTCTGCGCTGCCATTGAATTTCTATTTCTATATTATACAACGAATATATGGCTTGAAAGAAATGTTATGGAACTTAAATCAATTCACTAACTTAACATTTCTAGCCTGATTGTCTCTCTTGTGAAAAAAAAAAAAAATTGAATATTCTATATGTCTAGCCCTAAGAGCAGGTACAAAGTTTGACATCTAGAATTTTATTTGTGAAACCTTTTCTAATCCGTTCTTAAAGCAACCTTTATTTTGTGTCCATTCCAAATTATGTATGATCAATTTTCGCGCCAGTGAACTCCTTTTACTCTGAAAATGATGTGCTCTAAGCTATTTCCTTTTTGTCGCTGCAGGCGAAATTGAGGAGCTCATCTTGGTGGGTACGGTTTTTTCTTCAGACCAGCTTAGAAGAAAATGAAGCTGCCGGTAAAAAATTTCAGCAGGCTGCAACTAAGAGGTCACACCACCCAAGTTGCCAAATTTTCCACCTCAAGCCATTCAATTGAGATCATAGTTACTGCACCATCATTCTAATTCTTATTTTCCACCTCAAGTCATACAATTGATGTCTTCAGCATAATTATTGTTAAACATCAGTGTCTAAGAATCTAAATCTTTTTTTTTTTTCCCAAGCTCTCATTTGTATCAGAGAAATTCAAATTCTTTATAGAATGATTTATCCCAGAAAAAAGAAAGAAAGAAAGAAAGAAAGCAAATTCCTTACAAAATGTTTGTCACGTTACTTTTACTGAAGGCCCAACATGATCTGTATTCTCATAGAATGTTTCTTGGATTGATGCAGTCTACACTGTTTTCAAGATCAAACTAGGCTTTCGCAATCAATTAATTTTTGTAACTGGAAACAAAACTTTGCTTAAGTTACCAATACTTACACACAGTTTTTCGTTGTATGGTAGCATCTTGTGTTGGCTTTCCGCTCAATGATGATTGCTTTAAGTAATTAAAAAAAAACATCATTTTGTATCCCATCAAGTACTTTCGGTTTGTGCATCAGTATGTGAGGAATCTGGGAAAGTCTTGCAACAGCTATGGTGTCCTGTGTTGGCTTTCCGCTCAATCATGATTGCTTTAAGTATAATAATAATAAAAAAAAAGATCATTTTATATCCCTTCAAGTACTTTCAGTTTATGCATCAGTATATGAGAAATCTGGGAAAGTCTTGCAACAACTATGGTGTAAAGGACTCTTGGAGAAGCATTGCCTGGTACTAAATTTCAAGTAGTACCATGGCATATGTTAGTCATGAAAAAACGCAAACTTCTGCATTCCAGCAATGAGCAGCGTGCAAAGTTGGTAGGAACCTTTACCGTAGGACACGTCTTAGATTAGTAGTTCGCACTCCTCAGCATGCAGTATGAGCGTGTTCTTGTGAATATGATGATCGAGCCGGAAACTGGTTCATATTCAACTTCAGAGGGTAGTTGGGGTATTCAATGCTCTGTGCACTAACGTTGGTAATTGAATTATTCAGTCATTTTCAAATCTTCTAGAAGTAGGATAAGAGGTCGGTTCTTAACTTCACTTCTTGCATTGGCTGTAGATTTTCCATGAATGCCAATTTCCTAACTACCAATGAAAGAAGTGGGTACCCATATCAATATATTAAACAGATATATATATTTTTTTACCTTTATTAATTTTAATATTTATTAAATATTTTAAATAAATATTTATTGAGTTTGACTCATTTTATATCGGTACATTATCAACCCTATCCGTTCCAGCGTAGGCTGTGGCTTGCCAGTTTTCAGCAGTTGTGATCCTTTTATTGGTAAGACGTGAAAATTAGGCTCAAAGGAAACTTAATCCCAATTACCTCTGCACTCCTCTCCCCTCTATGACAATTGCTTGTTTCAAAAATTTGTCCGAGACATTACACGTGCAGGAAACCTATAGACAGAAGATCACTTTCAATGGTGACTAGAAAAAGAATGAGACAGTGTGCATGGCCCTGCTTTGTTGTTCTTGCATTACAAAATGCAAATAATCAAATACAACAACTAAAAATCTTTGACTTTGAGGTGACCCAAGTGTGCCTATTAGGTCCCCTTGAGCTTGAGTGTATCAGTGAATGGGCCATTGGCTGGTCTAGAAAGAAACGAGCATGGCTAAGACAATTATAATGTGACCTGAGACTTTTATGCGCGTATGTTGGTGCCTGCCTTTAAGACAGCCTAGCGTTTTCTTCCATTGGCATGCTTTGAATAGGACCACATTAGTGAAGCGTGTCGAGGGATCCCTATGTACTTGGGGTAAGCATAATTCAGTATCGAGAAAGTAAATGGTAACGATTGCAACCAGGAAGCGAAAAAAACTGCCAGATAAACAACACAAACTAAAATTTATTCCTACTGTCCACCCTAACCCAACCCAACCTAACATGTCCACTTCAGTAAAATAACGACCCATAGCCATTCATCGAACCTGGTGCAGTATTTATGCTCTGATAATTTTACAGGATTATAAGTGAATTTTAGAATGGCACATTTTGTTTAAACAAAGAAAAAAAATTATTAGGTACGTAGATCCGGTTCATCTGTACATAATTAATCACATTATCGAAACTCACTAGACTAGCTGACAATAATAACATTGAGATTCAATAGTTTTGAATAAGAGAGAATCCATTAATTACTATTCACTTAAGTGCATGAAAATGCAGCATTGCCAACCCCAATTAATCCACAAAATGGCCTAAAAGTCTAGTTGATTTAATTTATTATTATGCCTGGCACTGAATTAAAGCGTAAAGGGTAATAAAAACAAAATGCACAGTTATGGGGTAAAAAATTGGTAATTTTCCAAATTTTGGGATTCCAAATAGGATTTTCAAATTCTTCCCACTAATGGTTAATTAATGAGGGGGAGGACCTACTTAGAACCCACGTGAACCAACAGATCAAATGGCGGAAATCATTTGAAAATCTCACTCAGGTCTTAATTCAAGAAAATTATTTTGGTTCAGTTATCAATTACAAGTGAATAACAAAGAACAGATACTAAATAGTTTGTAGTTTAATGATAATAAGAAATTATTGATTTAAATCTTAATAAATTAATTTTGTTAAAAATTTTGAATATATGAGTTTAAAAAAAAAAAAAAAAAAAAAAACAAAGAACAAATCATTCCCGATTCTACCTGTCCAGTCCTCGTTAATAACTAGTTTGAGATGGAGCCTACAATTCATCTCCACTGATGCGAACTACTTGTAATTTGTAAATAATTCAACACCTGCCGACTTTGTCGTATTTGGCATTTTTTTCCTTTCTTAAATTGAGTAAAGCAAGGACAAAATGTTGACCAACTAACTAAGCACATGAACTACCAATTGGTAAAATTTCAAACTTACCATCCTAATCCCTTAAAATTCATCTTATTTGTTTGGTAAAAATAAAATAAAAATTGAATTGGAGACCCTTTTCAGGAGACAATATTAATATTAGTTGAATTACAATTCTCTAATCCTTAAAATCCATCTTGTTAACATCTACTACTCATATGGTTTAATTATACATGTTCAGTTGGTCACATTTAGCAATTTGGTTTTGTGCTTAGTTTGAGCAATCAAGGACAAAATGTTGACCTGCTAACCAAGCACATAAATAACCGATTGGTAAATTTCTACTTTTCATTGAATGGAAACACAACCTCCTGCCATGCTTTTCACAAGTCAATAAACTTTGGAGATTGAAATTTTCTTTTCTTATGCAAATATTTTGACTTAATTTTTTTTTTTATAATACTCAGAAAGTAAATAACTAATATACATATACAATAGTTACTTGTATAAGTCAATTTTTGAGAAGAAAGATAGAGACATATAAAAGAATAACATCTATATATATTAAAAATGATCAGAAGATTTTCATCTCGGCTCAATTTTTTCCTCTCTAATTTTTATTTTTTATCTCTTTATAAAGCATTTTTACTAATTACTCTTTGAATATTATAAAATTTCTCAAAAAATAACTTTTAATTAAGTTACAACATAATAATTCCAACCAAAGTTGTCAAGAACAGAAATTATTCTCGTCTCTAGGAAACAAACTTTCCTCCTAATTAATTGAAATTGGTTTCTTCTTCTCTTTTATGTTGGTAAAAATGGCAGGAGAAGCTCGTGGGTCGTAGCATTAACGAGACAGTCACGATACCTTACCCAAGTCCACCAAATAACATTACCCAACATCAATTGCATCCACGCTTACCTCATGACACCAATAATTTTCAACCATAAGGTTGGAATTTCAAAAGCAAGATGTACCATATCCATGTGATCGTTAATTATTTGATGGAAAGCAAATGTACTTCATTTCATGGAAAAACTGAAGCCTGTTTGAAGGGAGCCAGGAACAATCCTACAAAAGAGCAACTTTTGTCCGTCAAAATTCACAATTAAACATTCTAATTTTGGCAAACTTCTATTGATGAAGCCCGTTTCTCTACGCCAACGATAGCTGTGAATAGGAGGAGAACACCACATATTATTTCTCCCATTTACCATTTCGGTTTGTTACTGCTCCTAGCTATAGCTAGGGCACAAGGACAAAATTTTATAGGGTAAAACTTCTTTTTGCTCTCGTGAATTTATTAACGTTCAACTTCTACCTTTATGTTTAAAATTTCTCAATGCTGCTACCCTTAAGGTTTTCAATAAAGTTCCAATGATAACTCTAACCATATAGCATACTTTTATTATTATTATTATTATTATTATTTATTGGTTTTAGACTGTACCATTTGGGAACTAGTACAACATTTATGAGGATGCGAAAAGGAAAAAATGATAGAAAGTAAGTAAAAATATGAACAGAAGCGAACATTTTGTTAATTATTTATTTAGTTGCAAAAAGCATAGAATTCAAAGTTTTTAAGATGACATTGGAAAATTTTAAACTATGAGGGTAAAAGTGGAACACTAGTGAAATCATAAGAGCAAAAATATCCGTTGCCCTATTTGTAATCTCGTGTTCATGAGTAGTACTATTAACAGATTAAATTAATATCACATTACAATATTATTCATATTAGATTTATTTAATAAACAGTTTGGGTCATATTTTATAAATTCCAACCAAGTTTTTTAATTGTCAACCCATATTTCGATTCGGATTGGATTCAAATATCCATTAAATTTATTATTTAGTTTTTTCTATAAAAAAAAAATGTTGACTAAATTCCAACCGTGTTCCAATGTATATAAAAAAAAAAAAATCAAATAATTCTATTAAAAATTTATAGTAAATATCAAGATTATTTGCTTAAATTACGCAAGAAACGCAACAAAAGGTAAAGAAAATAATAAAATTGCGTACTCTAAGCACAGTTTGATTGACGAAGAGAAATCCTACTATTTTATTAAGGACAAGTTTGAAATGGACAATTTGAAATAATAGCCATAAACATATAAGAAAGAAAATATAAGAATAAAATGTTATTTAGTATTTAGATTAATAAATCCTAAATCTAAACCTAACGTCATATTTTTTCTTCTTATTTTTTTATATTTTTAAAATATTATATTTATTTAAAATAATATTAATGTTAATTTCAGATCATATTAGTATCGAAATTGGATCAAAATATATCCAAATTTAATCTATTTAATAAACGAGTTATCGGATTCGGATAATGATAAGAATTTAATTATAAAACCTATGAATTAAATTTATATAATTATATTGAATTCGGATTAAAATTATATCCATCGACAATATTCACGAGAGATATTAATGAGCAGATCATCAACAAAAATAAATTAAAATTCGTCCTTGACGTCGGTCACCAAAAGCATGGGAGTATTATTTGTTGCAATTTTTTACATAGTCAGTACTCCAAACAGATCATGCTTTGTGTGCCTTATTTAATATAATACTAGCATTTATATACGCTAACGCTTGTGTTTGCTCACTGTATTATATGTGAGGTGATACTGAAAAAGGATTAATTGTTAGATTGAATTTGAATCCACTCGAGCTAAAGCAATATTTCTCTTGATCTGGAATTTGGGAAAACTATATATGGTTGTTTATTTTCAATTTGGATTGGAGTTTCTAAACCAAATAATTTGGAATGCAACTGAAATATTTTTGTATCCATCTAAAAAGGTTAGTGTATAATTAATGTATTTAATTACTTGGTTAATTCTGCTTTGTTTATTTTTTTTATTTTTTTATTTTTTACAATATTTGATGCGCTGTTGTTATTTGAGGATGCGTTTTATAATTAATTTAATTAGTTTGCCACGGTTAGTTTTATCTAAAGTTTATTGGTTTGTTTCTAAATGAAAAAAAGAAGTTAAATTATTACTTTTCTCAAAATTATTTATAAAATTCCTCATGCCGTATTTTAAGGGGTGTTCCCACGGAGAGAGAGATAATATTTTTATTTATTGAAATTAAGGTTCTTTTATCTAAATAAGTTGGAAAATAAGGCTGTAATTTGATTATTTAAATTAGAGAAATTATTAGGGTTGTACTTAATTTGTTCTGATCTCATAGAAATATGAGATTTATTATAAAAAATAATTCATTTTTATACGAAAAAAAAAACTGCAATTTTTAGTGTACCAAATAATTCCTCATGACTCGAACCTATATTTATGTGACAGCAATGAAATAATTGTAAGAAAGAATGAAATTTTACTTGGCGAGAAATATAGCAAAGAGGATAATAATCAATTAATACGATGACAACCCTAGCCTTTCTGATCTAATGAAAAACACAACCCTCCAAGTTTTTTTAACCAATTTTGGTTGTCACTGTGATTTTTCCACCGACGACAAACTCATTTTTTTCTCCCTTTCTTTTTGTTTTGTTTTGTTTTTTTTTTTTTTTTTCCTGAACGATCCCATAAAGATCTTATACTATATTTGGTATTTTTCACAGTCTAAATAATTATAAATCTGAATTCATATGATTAAAGATTTTCAATTGGATTCATGTATTGCCCTCCATTATTGAGATTTTATTGTTGTTATCTGGTTGTCGTGTCTTGTTGTTTGGGTGAAATCGCATTTCATCATAGCAATTTTGGATGTAGAGATTATTCCTCCAATCGGCTTGATGGTGCAATTCATTTTTGTGTTGAGTCCTAGCTTAGATATTTTATATTATTCTAAAAATAACTATTTTTAGTTATTGCATAGATAAAAATAGTCTGAATAGATTAAAAAAAAAAAACAGAGAGAGAGAGAAATTTAAAATTTTATTTAATAGTTTAAATAAAAATAATCAAATCATTTTTTATGGAATCTATTTTGATTACCTATCTAATATTTATATTTATCTTTCTACTTAAAGGGAAATCATTGAGTAAATATCGATAATTACTCTATTATGACTTTCTCTATATTGTCATGATGACTCGAGAATTGTCTATTTGTGAGTTTTATTTTTCGATTCGGTCGTAAAAAATATATTCGACTACTTTGTGTATCAACTAAAACTTTTTGGAATTCCTCGTCAAACAATGTTAAAAACACACTTCTATCATCATATGATGTATTAAAAAATAAATAAATAAATAAATAACCATCTAGATGTTAGCTTCGAGTTTCAAACTAAGTTAAAAAAAAAAAAAAAAAAGGAAGAAGAAGAAGAAAGAAAGAAAAAGAACATACCTCTTGATCACAATTCAATCTCTTGGGATTGAATTGTTATCCTTTTAGCATACATTTAAATCAAGGACATTAATTTAACTTAAAAAAAAAAATTGAGGAACATGATAGAAAAAGACTTAAGAAAATCTTCTTCCTCCTAAGTAAGGGGCAATTCCTTTTGTTTCCTTAATCCGTTGCAAAATTCCATTACCAGTGGTAGCTAGCTCCTTGTACTGATTCTTTGGCAATCAAATGTTATAAAAAACATTAGCCTGAATGTCATCGGAATATATTATTTAAAAGGAATACGTACATGCCCACACGCATATGTATTAGTTGGTAAACGTAGTTAATTTTCTTAGACCTCAAGGTTTATGTGTATGGATTTAACTGGCTTTAGTACTCGAGGACTTGAGCTCACAGAGTAGTACTGTTCCACGACGCCCCACGAGTTATGGGCTAATATGGGTCGTGCTGGCTGTAATAAACGACCATATTTTCTTTATAACAAACTATTTCCAGAGGATGCAGCATCTTGAGATGAGGATTTTCCACATGATCGATCTAATTAGCCTCTCCTTTCACTGCCTACACTCCATGTGCCTCTCTCTCGCAGGGATATATATATATATATATTAGTCGTGAGGCATATACATACATATATATCCACACCAATTAAAAATAGTCATAATTAGTTTTTTTATTATGTAACAAATTAAATCTGTTAGGAAAAATGAAAACACTTGTACTCTCTTGTAAATTTACAATAATATTCACGTGCTTTTGCCCGCTAGCGCTATTTTTTAACCCTTTCCAAGTGCTCAGGTGGAGAAACACGTGGCATTTGCTCGTAAACTCAGGGACTATTTGGAGGGGCCATTTCGCAATCTATTAAAAAGTCCTGCTCTTCCTTGCCCATGAAAAGACAATGCACTAGCTAGTTAGTTAGGGTGTAAGAAATGATGTTCGATATTTCAAGGAATTGCGGTGTTCTGATAAGCATTCTTATCCTGTTTTGAGGAATTGCAATCGACTTTCGTTAGGGAGGCAAATTCCCATCTATGGAAGGAGAAAAGGAGCCATTTCCATAGTTGTCCGGTGCACATTTCCATAGTTGATCAATAATGATATTTGAATTTTGAGACTTACTGAAAGGATAAAATAATGAAGAACAATTCCTTGTCCGAAAAGACAAGACTTAATTCATTGAGGTGGTGTTGTGGGTTCCTTGTTGGGTATAACAGAGGCACTAAAGTACCCAAATTCTCATCTTCCAAAAGTTTCAGACAAGTGCCTCACGTTCTCTTAACCAATGCAATAATCAGCTGAGGTAATGATTAACACATGCAATGGAGACCCGAGAGAGAGAGCTACCAATTAGCATAGCATATAAGGTAAGTGGTTAAAGATCGAAATTTAATTTAGATTTTTCAATTTCGAATATTAGTAGGTTAAGAGAAGAGAATAAATGCTGCCAGCTCAATTAGTTTGACTAAAGTTTTGGTGGAGAAAATAGAAAAAGAAAAACGTCAATTGCACGGTGCGAGTATTATGAACAGGAATATGATACGAAAGATTATGTTAAAGCGCAGGATTGGGTCATTTAATTGGTGGACATATTTGTCCCTGGAGTATGTGTATTGGATTTTTCTAAGAGGTTATAACATGTTTGTAATAGTTTTTAAATCAATTTAGATTAAATTCATTATTTTTTTAGACTAAACTCATATCAGAACATGTTTAGTTTTTTATCGATCACTAGATTCGTTTTTAACTCCAATAAAACTAAATTTTATACTATTAAAAAATAATTATAATTAATTCTCTGCAAGTAATAGAAATCGATGGTCATTGATATTGACTAAATCAAAACAAATCTTTTACGTATCCTAAACTACATTCTTTGACAAGTAATTTGATTGTTACAACACTTTCCTGAGCTTTCAGTCCTTTTGAATTAATTTAGTTGGAGAATGTAGTCCTTTTCATTAGTCGTTTTAGAGTTTCGTTAAGTAATTAATTAATTATAAGATAATATTTTAAATTGAAAAAAAAACATATTTAAAAGATAAAATAATATAAAGTTTTAATTGTAATAATACGGCTGAACTTTAGCCCTTAAATCAAAATATCGACCTATATCAAATATTCTCTAAAATTTCACCGTTGACCTCTTGACTTTATTGCAATGTGCTCCCCTCATTAGTCAATTATAAGAATTTGTCAATTTCGACCACAATTGACCCTTAAAAAAGAGCCCACAATACTAACTTGCTATTTTTCAACATTCCACCTTCATTTCTCTTCTCCTTTTCTAATCTCCTTCTCTCATTTTTCAAAAGAAAAAAATTAATATCTCATCCTCTCCTAATTGAAAAAAAAAAAAGTCTTGGAAGGAATAAAATTTCTTCTAGTCATCAAGTACAAGATGATCACTAAGAAGTAATTTTGTACTTGATGACTACAAGAAATTTTATTCCTTCCGAGACTTATTTTTTTTATTTATAAAAAAAGTTTACGCTCAAGAATTTTTAACATTGGACTTTCAATATCTGAGGAGATTTATCCATTTATCTATCTATAATGAAAATGTAAGCTTGGAAAGTGTAGGTGGTGTAAATTTAACGAACAAGCTATACGCGCAACCCCGTAGGACTTCGAGATTTGACCTTGTGAACTTCACTTGATAACTTTGATCAGCGTTTAAATGGTTCTCTGAGATCTTAGTCTTGGTCTTCCTCTTATTCTTTTTCTTTAATTTTTCAATTTAACATTAGAATTATAAATAAGAATAACATCTAGTATTTTTTTTAAAAAAATTCTGAATATGTGAAAAAGTTAGTAATATCGCATAAATTACAGTGAAGCAAAATGGCATAGTTCTAACCAATGATTTAGTAATTTTTTCAATATCGTTTGATTTAATATTTTTATCCTCCGAAAACAAAATAGTAGAATTAATTTAGATTTGACGTAGAAGTCAGTTTCCTTTACGAAATGTTAAATACATGTGAAGGAGACAAAGACGATGAGGTGGCAGACATGAAATGAAATGGAAAAGTAGGTAGGACCCGGCAACAGTTGGACCAGGACGCAGCTTTGAGTCCATTTGCACTTTCTGTGAAATCTCTATATCAGCAATCAGGTGGTCCATGGACCATCTATTAATTTCAATGTCCAAATCAGGACACGTCACAACTTCTAGCATCGCATAATATGCTGTGCATGTGTAGCCATTTTTCTCTTTTAACCAACAGGTTGAGTTACAGGAAAATAAATAAATAAATAAAATCAATAGACTAACTGAACTCTTGGCTATAATTGCTATTCCTGTAGTCCCGAGAAAATTTAATTTCGATTGCGATTTAAATTGTTTCGAAGTTACTTTTGAAACATAGGCGTCAAATGTTATTTTTTTTCTTAAAAAAAATTCAAAATCAAACTCATAAGAGAGAAAAAACGGGGGGAAAAATGGAGGGAGCTACCTAGGCCCCTCGATTCTGAGTTTTCATTGATAGGTAATTCACATGCATTAGGTATTCTAATTAGGTAACGACTCCGAGGATTGCAACTCAAAAAACTGATATAGAAACGTAGCAATAGCGTCAATATTTTTGCTTTTAATGGAAAAGAAGAAAGCCAGAAGAACTTTAATTGAGGTTCCTGGTAAATAGTGATTTCAGTTGCAAACACGTATGATCTCAAATTAAAAGAGTAATTACCATTATATAAGTTTTAGTTAATCAGAACATCAAATATGTCAATTGCATTTTGCACTTAACGTACTGATCATTCCTACGAGCAAAACTCTGCAAAAGGAACATCGGTCCAATATATACAAATATATGTATATGTGTGTGTGAGAGCTGAAGTCAATGACTCTAAGTACTCCTCTGCATGCATTTATGATGATAGAGGCCTTTTTCCAATTTAGAAATCATGACAACGCTGTTTTTCTCAAGTATGGTTAATCTACTGTCCGTGTTCAAACCACCGGCCACAAGAATGCCGCTGCCAATACATGTAAAGTCAAGCCCCAGCTGCCAATTTTGCTGGAGACCACAAGGGCGATCGCAAGAGGACAAATGCTAACTAATCAAATACTAAAGTCTGTTACCAGATACGTCAAGTTGGAATTTATCGACTGAAAGTGCATAGAAAAGTTGGAATTTAATCTTAAAATGACCTTTGAACTTAATAATAATAATATTTAATTAGTTGAAAAATAATTAAGAAGGAAATGACTTTCATAGAGCTTTAACAACAACAAGTTCCCTCTCACCCTCTCAAAGAATCAGCCCTATCAATTTACCAAACATATTGTCGGGGTAATGTTTGTGCCGTTCCCTCACGTCTATATATATAAATGCTATGCCACACCCTTTATTCCCTACCAAGCCTCCCATATAGATTTAGCTCTCTCTCTCTTTCTCTCTCTCTCTTATCTCGCCTATAACTCCTTTTTCACTTAAAAAACCCTCAGGTTACACTTACACAAGCTAGATTAATTGGTAGCATATGTGGGAAAATGTTGTCTAGAAAATCTAGCTGTGATAGTCATGGACAAGATTCTTTCTACTTTCTAGGGTTGCAAGAGTATGAGAAGAATCCATATCACAACGTACATAATCCAATGGGGATTATTCAGATGGGACTTGCAGAGAACCAGGTAATTAACTATGCATGTGAAATCATACGCATGCGACCAAATCATGCAACCTGCTGCTTTTCTCGATTAATATTCCCTGAAGAAAAAAATCACACAAAAAAAGGCCAGGTTCAAGGGATTTTAAGTACTATATATATTTATTTACTTTACGCAACTTTAAAGGCCACATATTTTTTCTGCATGGGACATTATTGCACTAAAAAGATGCTTTGCTAGTATTAGTGGGAAAGAATGGAAATGTTTATTACATATCCAAGCTTATTTTGCCTCCTGTGGATATGGGTGAACATGTCTTCTTGTATATCCATTCATGTCCTGCATAAAGTCAAAAGGAACCTCTGTATTATTTTTCCAACCGCTCAGTTTTTCATGGTCAGTGAACTTTATTTTTTGCAGCTTTCTTTTGACCTTCTTGAATCTTGGCTAGCAAGAAATCCGGACGCAGTGTGTTTGAAGAGAAATGGTGCATCGATCTTCAAAGAATTGGCTCTCTTTCAAGACTATCATGGCTTGCCTGCTTTCAAGAATGTAAATTTTGATTAGTGCACATTTTTATTTGTTGCTTGAATATAGATCAACATGGGTTCATAATTCATTTGTGTGCACATATCTCTAATCTCGGCCTGAACATTATTCGTTTTATTTGAATAGGCACTAGTGAAGTTTATGGCTGAAATAAGAGGAAACAAAGTAAAGTTTGATCCAAACAAGCTTGTGCTTACAGCCGGTTCAACTTCTGCTAATGAGACTCTAATGTTTTGCCTTGCTGAACGTGGCGATGCATTCCTTCTCCCTACTCCATACTATCCAGGGTAATATATAATTATATGGCAGTAAAAAACATGCACTATATATATATATATATATTTCTTTTCTCTTCATTAATTCTTTTTTTTTTTTTAATAACATGATCGTGTTCTTATGTTCTATGCTTATTAATTTTTATATATGGCAGATTTGATAGAGATCTTAAATGGCGGACTGAAGTGGAAATTGTTCCAATACATTGCTCAAGTTCAAACGGCTTTCAGATTACCGAGCCTTCATTAGAAAAAGCTTATCAACAAGCCCAGAAACTTGACTTGAAAGTTAAGGGGGTATTGATCACGAATCCTTCAAACCCCTTAGGGACAACAATGACCCGCGATGAGCTTAACCTCCTCATTAGCTTCGCTATGGCTAAAAAAATTCATATAGTAAGTGATGAAATTTATTCAGGCACAGCCTTTGACTGTCCTGATTACATAAGCAT